GGGGGGGGGGGGGTGGGCTTGTTCCCTTCTTCCCTAAAAGCCTCTGAGAGATCTTCAGACTCAATGCAATGTAAGAGAACGAAATATTTTCGCAACGACTTGGAGGACGCGCAGTGTTTCAATTCTTTTCGGAATTCTCAGTAATACTATGAAAAACTAGTTACGAATCCCGCTCTGGACAACGCATTTTTCGTTGTCTGCAGAGTCAAATAACTAGCTAATTTTTCATATTTCTGGGGATGGTTCTGAATAGAATTGAAATATTGCGCGCGTCCAGTCCAAGATAAGCGGTAAGTCGTCGTGAAAATATTTCATATACTCGCTACCAATTCTAGTTGACTTATTGTTTCTCGGACAATGGAAAATTTGATTATGAACAAATTCGGATAAAATCGGACAATTCGGTCTTATTCATATGTTAATTATGATATACATATACGCATTGAGCGGTGAGTTTAATCATAGACAATCTAGAAGAAACTGAATGTCTTCTGGATTGTCCATGCCGCCTATGATTTAATGTGTCGGTTTTTATGAGATGAGTACTGTATCGACTATCGTACTTATCATCCAGGATGCATGCGTATAAATTAAATGTTTTGTCTGCTGACTACACACGTCAAAATCTCACAACTTGTCAACAAGATGTGTTCGCAACAGGCTTGTAGCAAGCTTGTGCTGCTTGTCAACAAGTTGTAACAACTTTATACAACATTGTTCCTCACAACTTGTTGACTCAAACTGTTGAATTGCTGGATCTGCCAGGATGATAACAAGTTGTTGGAACAACTTGTAACACGTCTGTTCAGCTCAACAACCTTGTAGTAAGTTGTCAACAAGTCATTAACTTGTCAACAAGCAGTGCGAACATATACAAGTCTGCTGCAGGTTTGTTACAACTACTGAGTTTTTACGTGTGTAGCTAAAGATAAGCCGCTTTGGCTGAGAAAGTCAAACAAAAAGTTTATGTTAAAGAAGCGTTGAAGAAAAATTAACTTCTTTTGAACTTTCTTTAATTTACGAATTATTAGCGACTTCATAGCATGCCACAAGATCCACATAAAGCATGCATGAAAAATGAAGGTTTTTCTTAAAGTATAGGACTATAAATTTTGTTGCTAAACTATAGTGTTGGGCTCATATATGCAGGATCCAGGATATCGAGACCACATCAGTTCAACGGCGGCGCTAAAGGGCTGAGAGGGGGGGGCGGTACAACAGTGAATCCCAGTTGGCAAATTGTTTTCGTAGTCAGCAAAACATGAATTTGATTGGGAGAGAAATGGAGTGAAACAGATTAAAAATTAATAATTATACGTAAAATTCGGAGAAAATTGCGAAAATTTATGAAGGAAAAAAGTAAACATTAAAGGTACGTTAACATGAGAAACATAATGTCCGGAAAAATTTTTTTACCCCCTACCCCCGCTCGCCAACATCTTTGGGAAAAGAAATATTAATTAGCGTTTGAAATGAGTCGGTATACAATTTCACTGAATAATGACTCGGCAAAATTCTCTTACACCCCTCCCATTCAACTATAGGTTTAGTGCCGCCCCTGCATCAGTTATTTAGTTTCTAGGTCAGATCGTGTTTTTAACTCTTTAATACGTATATGATTGTTCATTATTTTCCAATCTGAATTTTTGTCTTGTTCCTATACTTAGGAAGAAGAACTACAAGAGCCTTCACATTTTCTTATTTGAATAAGATGTGAAAAGTGAAAACGTCATACCATGTGACTACTGCCGTGGCGAAATCTGGGTAGATTAAAATAACTATATATCTTATTTAAAGTGCATGTAAAACGAACATTTTTATTGTCTTATTTAAAAGAACTATAAAAACTATAGCGTAACTTCTTATGCAGTTTTTCGTTTCGTTGCTTCGTTTTCGAGATATTTCGGTATAGTTTGATTACGTGTCATGGTTTCTACGTCACAAATATGCATAATGAGCTATCAGAAGTTGTACAGTATATCCTTGCTATTATCAAACAAAATTACTTTATTGAAGTATAGTGTGCATTTGTGTCGTTCTACAACATTAAATACCTGGATTCTCTAGTAATTTCATTTCGTACAGTGTATAATAACAAGAATAAATAACATTTTCAGCAAATCATTATGCACTTTGTGACGTAGGATCCAGTTGACACGTATATCAAACTAAATGAAATATCTCGAAAACGAAGCAACAGAACGGAAAACTTTAAATATACAACCGACTTGAGCTGAGTGAAACAATGTCATCAATCATCATGAATGATAATGCAGCTGTCGACCATTTTCCCGCAATGTGGGCGAGATTACTCCAACGACCTGGAGCAGAAACAGGACAGCTTTATATTAGAGAGGTTCAGATTTGACTTCCATTACGGCTATACCACTACCTCTCACCAGGGATGCCGGAACCACGGGTGCAGCGGGTGCAAGTGCACCCCTTGCCTATTGCATTTTCAACTGTGTGGGTGCAGTGTTGGTGCAGACTATGGGTGTAACGTGTGCACAAAACTTTTACAACAGACAGGAAGTGTGTGGGGGTGTTCCACCCCCCAGTCGTCAGGAATTCGGCAAAGTTGTTATCCATTTGGCGAAAGGTGAAACGGAAAGTATTACTTATGGAATTTTTGGCAAGAAATTACGGAGGAATTGTGGCTAAATAATTGTATTCGGTCCGAAAAAATTTGGTGGCGGGGAGGGAGGTCGACACGAATGTAGGATCTTGACGCCCTTTCATTTTCATTGGTGCCCTTTTGTTAAGGAGTATGCCCTCTTATTAACCAATTGCACTCCTTGCCCTCAGCAACTTCCGGCATCCCTGCCTCTCACTAGCTTAATTAGTACGCATTTGATTGGTTAATCGGATATATCAAACCATCTGATTGGTTAATGGTCCCTTAATGGTAGCAGGAGCGAAATTCAAATCTGAAACTCTCGATCTGTTAGGGCCTCTGGGAAGGAACCGTTTATATATAGAAGATAGAAAATCTGAAGGCTAGTTACGGTTGAGCTATTAAATTTGAATTATTAGGACCTAGAAAGATTGCATCTCGACTCCTTAATTTCTGTAAAGTAATTTTAAGTTGTAATATCCAGATCGACCTACCATTTCTCTTACAATTCTCTTACATTTGGACTCCAGTATTTTGGAGAGGTCATCATGAGGTCAGAGGTCCTCCGCTTGAAGGCAATTGAAGATCCTTGTTTTTACGGCCTGCAACAACAAGATGTTGGGAGTGTTTGTAATTGTCTAATTCACTTTTGTTGCAATTGTCTAATTTCGTTTGTAATTGTCTAATTTACAGCTACAATCTTGGAAACAACTGGTTGATACTATTTTTCCCTCTATACAAAATTCGCACACCCCTTATGATAAATTCCATGTTGAATCATGTTGCGCTTATTAAATAACCCCTGCAGCTCCAATCTTGAGCTTGTGTCATGGTAAATTACCAAAGGTTGTTTCGGCATTGTTTACGACATGTCGACATTGAACTTGAGGGGAGGAGGGGGACAAAATTTTGTTTTGTCAATGTTCATTAATTTGGAATGTTGGCTAGTGGTTATGTCCGAGATTGTAGCTGAGGCGCGTCACACCATGACTACCACTGAAACTACTAGTAAAACTGAATTAATAATAGATGAAAACAACTTATCTAAAGGTAATTAAGCGGATATTGAACGTGTTGCGCAGCTGAGAGATTAGCCTGCATGGCAGGCGGTACTTAGGAAATACCGCCTGCCGCAAAACTGGGTGTAAATGAACTACCGCCCCTGAAGCATCAACGCTATTTATAGATGCATTAATTAAGTAAATATCATCCTCGGTCCCAGGGTCTCACGGCTGACACTGCGTTGCCGGAGGAGTGTCAGCCGTGAGGCCCTGGGACCGAGGATGAGTAAATATTCAAAATTAGCCATTCCCAAGCTGCTCCCAAGTCCGAACTGCCCAACATAAAATAAATTCCTTGATTCTCATCACCGCCCGACTGAATTTTAAAATCCTCGTGAAAACGTTTTATATTTCGTTATACATGTATAAATGTACCGCCCAACAAAATAATTCAAGACAGTTAATTTTTTTATATTTTATATAGAGTTTTTATTGCCATTTTAAACTTCCAATTTGAAACAAACAGAATTTTGAATGAAATTTCATTGTATTTTAAAGAAACTCAGTCATTCTGTCATTGTTCGTGGAGATACGAACTATTGATATATAAATTATATAAATATAAAAAATAAATCTCCCACTGTCTTCGACATTTCAAAGTGTAGACTGTGTCTAGTGATGAGAATCAAGGAATTTATTTTATGTGTTAATATAAACCAAGCCCGTTTAGCTGCCTTAAAACGGTGGTTTAATAAGGTCAAAATACAAAGCATGCAAGTCTACTATAGATTCATCATCAGTCAACAACCAAACTGAAAGTTTTGAACCTTATAGAACGATAGTTTTTACTTTGGAGTCTTTGGAGGTTCGTATATCTATCAAGTATCTTTGGTTCAGAACATGACGGGCCTATATGAAAATCCCACCGTTCGATTCAGTGAAGAAATATCTCCTAATTTCTATCGATAGTTTTAGTAAAATGTCAACATTATTGCGATTTATGGTCTTTGAAAGTCAAGCGAGATCGTATATTATCAAATTAATACGCATGTAATTGTCTCATTATATTAACTATGTCTGAACGAAAATATAGACTAGCCCATACCTTTCGCTGATCATAACTTCAGCCCCTTCGGACGTATCTTCTTTGTTAAATATTCTTGTACGAATCGCTATCAAAAACACTACTTAGAGTGTTATTTTTCAGCTTGTATCTTTAAATTTGCTTCGTTTATTTAATATGGTATTCCATTTCTGGTCTGACTTGACGTGAACTAATTTCAAAACGTCAAAACATTTGGTTAATGATTAACATATATTTAACCGAATTTAGCCGTTGATTGACAACTACATAAAAATACTAACCAATCCGTTTTTTCCGTTCACCAGCGGACGGGTAATTCAAAAACCCCTAGTTTTGCGGCAGACGGTATTTCCTTTGCTTCCCTAATTTTCGCTGCCCGTAGAAATACCGCCTGCCATGCAGGCTACTACATCGGTACACGACGCTATCATTTTTCTATTTAAGTTCAAATTATCGACGCAACCTCACAATCGCAGTTTCGAACCGCGCAACGATTTCATTGCAAACAGCACTGCCTCGGCACGAACCGAACTACTGCACGAACTGCAATCAGCATGAAACTTCACGAAACGAAACGCTAAACTAAACTAAATGTTAATTAAGTTACATTCAATGTTAAGCATTCAGGGGCCGGTTCTGTTATATGCATAGCAAAAGTTAATGATAGTGGTGAAATCAGAATTATTGATTTTAGAGTCCGCGCGGGGTAATCATTAATTAGGCCAAAATATCGAGAGATTGAAAGAAATATTAATAAAACGAAAAATTAAACGATTAATCAACGATTATCGAATCTGATAATAGAAAGGACATTTCTTGGTAATATAATATTTGGGGGTTTATTTTGGTCGTTGTTGTAAACAATTAAATTTTAAGTTCTTTGTATGTTTGCATGGCGATAAATGATGGTAATAGAACGAATAGGAGTGCTATTAATGCCATAATCATACGAGTGATTACAAAATCAACCGACCGCGTAGCGGGAGGTTGATTTGTTAATCACGAGTATGATTATGGCATTAATAGTACGACTTAATTCGTTCTATTACTTATTAATTATTTATCTTCTGTAATCAAACTGTTTAAGGGGGAAAAGCAGAAAAATACAATTTGTTGAAATTCAATATAATTTTTAAATTTTTGTCACAACAATTCTTAGTGAAATAGTACAATTTTGAATTATTATTTATCATATATAATCAAATTAACATATTATTAACTTCCGGGCATTATTTCCGGTATAACCACATGACAACATTTGTTTGAATTATTCAACACACAATTGGGAAGCCATGTTTGTATGTTTATAACGTGTTCAAAATAGTGAAGTTCTTTAGTTCAATTAATCATCTGAATTGGATTGTGTCTAGTTCGGTGTCTTCTGCTGGATGAACAGGTAGGTCATTTTCGTCAGAAAATATATAATTTAACAACCCTCGAAAACGAGATCGACATTCGGCAATGCCGACCTTCAGTATTAAAATGCCGACCTATCAACCTCCCATGTCGGCAATGTTTTGCCGACCTTAATTCAGCCAAAGTAAGAATCTTTTTTGTTCTTATAGTTGTTAAAAAGTCAGCGATTATAGAATTCGATCATTTCGATGCACTTTGGTGTAAGGTTTAAGAATTACTGTAACGGGTATATTTATGATATAATTTAGGTAAAACTCTAAAAGAAAAGGCTTCGTGACATTTATACTTTTCAATGATTCGTAAATACGTGATTATTAGTGCAGGCTACTAGTGCTCCAAGACATGGAAACAGATTTTAAAAAATGCCGAGATAGGTCAGATTTAGGTCGGCATTTTTTTTCCGACCTCAATTTTGACGGTTTTCGAGGGCTGATTTAAAAATTAAAAAGGGCAAAATTTGTGAATTCCTCCATTTTGAAATTTTTTACAGCAATAAAGAAAATAAAATTCAAAGTTTGTATCCTGAGTGCTGATTGGCTAGTGTAAATACTAGACTGATTTTCATTGGCTGTAGACAAGAGTGCGATTACAGCTCAGAAAAGGTGCGATTAATGCTCAAATCGCACTCCTGTAAACCAATGAAATTGCAGTATTTGCCACTGATTACAGAAGATAAATAATTAAATATATAATCGGTTTTTTCTGTGTTGATGTTGTGTACTCAGGTGAATATGATATTTGTGATGTTACTCTGGGTATATATCCACACCGGACGAACTTGAAAAATATGCCCGGCCACGGTGGGATTCGAACCTACGACCTTTGGAATACTAGCCCAATGCTCTTCCAACTGAGCTACGCGGTCAGGACGGTTCGAGTAAGTGATATTTCGGAACAGAATCTAGTTCCTTCGATACCAATGTAATCTAGCAATATATATATAATCGTTTTGTTTGTGGAAACACCACGTAAATTTATTACTGCAAAGGTTTTGATCCGTAAGCTCGGATTGTTTCGAGCTCTTTGCACACATAAAGACAACGTAAATGAATCTCAGAAACCTGGTGTGTACCGCATTCCTTGTGAATGTGGTCTGGTTTACATTGGTGAAACTGGTCGTAATCTCTCAGTACGTCTTAAGAAACACAAGACGAATTGCGAGAAAGCTGAGCAAGATAAATCTGCTGTAGCTAAACATACTTGGATTTACGACCATCTTATAAAATGGGACGAAGCACCATTTTGGCGAAATGAGAGAGTCAATTGAAATCGAGAAGCACAATACTATAGATCAGAAGGGAAAGCCACTACATAGTACGTAGCGTGCTCTCTTTAATGTGCAAAACTAATTTCTCTTGTCTTAGATGCGTATTTCTTCTTGTCTTGGAATCACTTCACTACGTTAGAAATGACGCAGTTGATGTGCCGTTTAATTAAATTTCAAATGATGCGAGCCAACAGATCACGACACTTTTGTATAAATTATAAAAAGAGCGTGTGAATTAAACAAGTCGCATATTATTATCACTGATAAAGATCCGAGCTTACGGATCGAAAACTTTGCAGTAATAAATTTACGTGGTGTTTCCACAAACAAAACGATTATATAATAAAATTTTAGTCAAGTGGCTGCCAAATTGACCCCTAACTTCTAAATTTCTGATCGTATAAACTTGATTCAAATATTAGTCTAGGACCTGTATATGAGTTTGTATGCATTTCATTTAGGACAGATAATCTCAACTGTTTTAGGGCAAGTTGACCATGACGGTCAACATGGTAACGCTGCCCGAACCCCAATCCGGGACGAAACGTCCGAAACTG